CATCAAGAATAAAAGTTATTCTGAAATGCACTGTGACAGTCAGCACGCAATAGACCTATGATCAGCGAGTGCCCGATAATGTGCTCCAGTGACAGATCTATGGCCAGCCACAGCCAGCGGTGTGTACTGCATCTTGTAATAAAATGTACTATCCGGGAACCTTTGTTGGGTGTAGTTGACTCCTCGCTTAATTCGGTGGTTTCAATGTGGACGAGTTCATCGGGCTGCTGCTCCGCAACAACTTCCTTTGCCTCATCCGGCAAAGTAGCATCACCGCTCAGTTCATTTGATGTTCTTGAATGTTTCGCTGGTGGTGCTGCTTGCAGCTCGAACGTGTTATCCTTCGCAACTTCTGATTCTTCTTCTGCTATCAGTGATTCTTCCTCCGCTACTGCCGGAGATGCATCCATCACCGAGCTCTATAATTTTTTTGATTAAAAATTTGTTGCGAAATTTCACTGCTGCTAACACAAGCCAATTAGAGGCTTATATGGTAAAACCCTTGAAAAGTTAGAAAAGTAGTGAGTTTGTCAGTTTAAGCTTTTATGGATTTGTATGACTAGGGGTTCTGTAATCACAAGCCGCTACAGTCCATAATAAGACAAAGCGTTAATCCAGCTTGGCCTAATTAATAGTGCAGTTCATTGTTATCAAAGGAGAAAGCTTCTTAAAGATCAGTTTAGTGCGATATCGACACGCAGTAAAGGAGTGTCAAAAGCGATACCTGGTCAACGGTCAATTCCTGTTTTACCTCGCTCATTTCTGTTTTCTTAGTAGGTTGCACCTCTTCCTGTGTTTGCTCCCTTTCTGGCTGTGTGCCATCAGCTTTTGGCTGTTGCTCAGCCTCCTCAACAGTTGCTTCAGCTTCAGAAGTGGTAGCTTGCTCCGACTGTACTGCCTCCGCTTCTTTAATTTCTTGAGGTGCTTCAGCGTCAGCAGCAATTTCAGCACCTTCTTTTTGAGTTAGGTCAGCCAATCCATCTTGGCTCCTTTTCTCGGTCACTGGTTGGGCCGAAAATTTTGTTGTCTCTTCTGCTTTTGTGCCTTGCTGAAAACAAGGCACTGATCATAACACCGCATATTTTGCGGTGTCTATCCTGGGCCTTCAACGGTCCTTTGGAGCAACCGCTTCCACTACCGGCTTTTCCATGAAGGAGACTACTGCTCAGGCTGGATCTCCAGGCGACCAAATAAAACTCCGTTGCAAGCAACTTGTGACATGAGCACATTAATGAAATGTGCCCTACCCAGTCGTCTTTTATATTATTCGAATTTTACATTTCAAATCTTTCTGTTTTTTGATTTCCAAGTTGAAAAAATTCTTGCTAAAGCTTTTACGTAGGACCTAGATATAAGTGAAAGCTGAATTTAAATTTGCACGGTCAATTATGGGATGAAGATATCCTGGTAAAATTTGAGCTTTCTAACTTTTCCGTCTAATATGTTGAAAACCCGGGCAAAAATCCGAAGACGTACACACAGAGCGTCGACAGTACGTATTTAGCGCCACTCGCGCTGCGCAGAACGCATAAAAATAGGTTCTGAAGCAAGCGCATTCAAAAAAACGTTTTAGCTTAATTCATAATCTATAACAGTACAAAGATGCTTTTTTTTCAGCCGTAGGTGTATGTAAGTTAGCACTCATTTTCGGGGCTTTTGAAAACACACTTCACAACATCAAATATAACCCTGATAAGCAGGGGCGCCAGTGAGGAAGCTGATGCTTAGTTGAAGCTGAGAGTTCTCAGCTCCACCTAAGCAAATTTACCTTATTCGCTTTCAACTTTATCTAAGCATCAGCTTCATGAATGGAGAAATTCTTTGCTGACAACGTATTTTCCTTTTGCTTAAGGCCTGTTTCCAGTAGTTGGCTTCCTTATTTATGAAGCTATGCTTAAGCAAAGCTGAGAGTTCTCACCTTTACCTATGCTTCTTCATCTTATTCGCTTTCAACTTTACCTAAGCATCAGCTTTATAGATGGGGAAGTTTCCCACAGATAACGGTTTTTCGTTTGCTTTTCTTGCTCTTAGTTTTTTCTTGCTTCCCTTCTTTTCATCCACCACC